CCTGCTCAGGGTCATGTAGGTCAGGATTACCATACCACAGGCTTTACCAGCTGAGGGTCACGTAGGTCAGGATAGCCGTACCTAGCACAGGCACGTAGGCTCTTGGTCAGTTAAAGGGCCAGTTACCACATCTCCCCCTTCATTTTTTATAAAAAAATGCCAGCTAGGGGGAGCATTGACTGGGCCCCTCCAGGATATCAAGAAAATCTTTGTTTTGTGGAGGGGAGGAAAGTAGACAGAGCCCGTTTTCCCCTGCCCACCCTACTAGCGGAGGGGAGCCATGGAAAAAGGCCAGTGTTAGGCAGATGAAACCTCCATGCAGGCCCAGTGTACTCCACAGGGAGTCGGAATCAGCCATGAGGCCTCCCTTGCAGTGCTTTGCCTAGCCGCTGAACAAAATGGAATAGGGTAAAGTCCGACTCCTCCATACCCAGATTGTCAGATCAGAGAGGGGCAGGGGAGCTGGCCATGAACAACTCAAGGTTGGGTCCAACTAAATACGACCTGCAAGCCGTCTTCTGTAGCAGCAGAATTTGTGGCCGCATGGTCTAGGGGAGCATCTTCCATTGCCAGGCGGTGATAATGCACCTGTATAGGTGTTGCCGCCAGTGAGGCAACCTGCTGTTTGATAAAGCTGATTAGATGGTTAAACACGCAAGGGCCGATAGTAGCAATTCACAAGAGTGCAGTAAGGGGGCCCAAGAAGGGGAGTAGGTATGGGAGAAGAGTGTGAAAGCCCCAGGTAGAGGTAGAGGACTCTCGTTGGCGTTGTCTGAGCTCTAAACACTCGCGGAGTTCCCGCATGGTATCCCGAATGACTCCACTATGATTGACATAGAAACAGCATTCCTCCCCCAGTGCGGAACAGAGTCCACCCTCTTTCAAAAAGAGAAGGTCAAGTCCTCTCCGATTCTGCAGGGCAACTTCAGACAACAAATTGAGGGATTCTTCCAAATGGGTGAACGAGCCTTCCAAGCAGCTGATGTCTGCCTCGGCAGCAGCATGAAGGGAGGCTAGTGCAGAGTGTTGAGTCACCAGGGACGCGATGCCCATCGCTGCGCCCGCAAGGGTCAGGGTCAGGAGGGTAGCGACAGTGATGGCTGTGAACGGGTCGCGACGATTAAGATGGAGGTCAGTCCTATTGTCCCAAGTGTCCAAAAAGGAATTGGCCGGATGGTAGAAAACTCGGGGCAGGACAACAACGGAGACACAGAAGTCCTGGGCGGGATGAAAGACGGATCCGGCCAGATGTGGGGTAAGTCCCGCCCAAACGCACAGCCACCAGGATCCAGATGAAGGGAGAACCCACTGGTCTAACTGGAGAAAAGGATCAGGGATGTGGGTGGTGCATAGTTTGGAAGCGTCAAGGGAAGGAGGTGAGGCACCAACACAAAATCCATGGCCTGATACATCCAGGAGGGAAAGGTTCGAGAGGAAAGAGGCCCACTCACGGGGGGTATGGAATAAGGCAAGGGGCTGCCTAAGAGGTCAAAAAATGGGGGGGACGGTTGCAAGCACAGCCAGCAGCTGCATGTAAGGTTTGGGGAGGTGCGGTTGAGGGAGTCAAAAGAGGCCATGACTAAGCCACGAAGAGAGTCACTCGGGTGTGGCTCGAGACCTGGGGAAGGGACCCGGTCTGTGGGGACTACTAGGATGGGAGTACTGGGGGTGGTCGCAGGTGGAGCTGAGGGAGCCGGCTGGACAAGGTAGTGCCAGACGCGAAAGAAAAATCTGATGGCCTGACCGAAGAGACCGAAGAGACCGAAGAGTGCTGCCCGAAGTGCGGACCCCCCAACGGAGGCCATCTCCCTCCCAACGGGAGCTGGGGAGCAGTTTCCCCAAGGATGTGAACAATAGGAGGAACATGCGGCAACTGTCAGCCCCAGAGGGGGGAATACATCCCGACGAGCCGGGGGCCGTGGCTCGGTGGCTGTAAATCAGGTAATCGAGGCGGGGGGTGGAGAGAGACGAGGGAGGAAGGCCCGCTACGGAAGATTCACAGCCCCAATTCTTACCAAAAAAGTCAGGCACACCTCCGCACTCAGGACGATGAGGCTGTTCTGGAAAAATGTAAATGGTAATTTCCTTCCACGAGTGGTCACAGAGGGACTTGGGCAAGGGCCGCCACTGTAAATTGGGGAAGGCATGCAAAGAACCATTGAATATGGCATGGCAGTAATCGACCTCTAAGTCAGGGAACCAGGAAAGGGTTTGGGGAGCGCACTTGCAGAAAACACGGGTGGCATCCTTCACAGCGAGTTGTCTCTCATTTGTCATCGGGTCGATGAATACTTTCCAGCAGATGGATATAGGCTGGTGTGCCTCACTGTTTGATGGTCGGCACCGGACTGGGTGGAGTGTCATTTTAACAGCATCAGCAGGATTTCCAGGGACATCTGTGGGGAAAATAGAGGTGTTCTCAGGGCCAGGCGAGGTTCTGGAATTTGTTACATGATTTATAGGTCAGACAAGGTGGGCAGGAAGCCAGCGAGCTGCTCCTTCACGGGTATCAAAAATGCAAGCATGTCCTCTGCCCCAGATCAGGACCAGATCCGGGCCATGCCACTGAGCCGTGAGTGGATCCTTCCATTTAGGCATAGCATAGGAGTTTTTCGAGTCAGAGTGCCAGAAACGATCTGCAGCACTGCGGCCATCCTTATCCAGGCTCAAAAAATTGAGCACAAACTGCACATGGGACAGCAGTGTCTTAGGAGAGTTAGAGGCACCATATAGGTTTCTATCCTTCACCAATTTGGAGATATACATTTTAAGGGTAGAGTGGGCTCTTTCCGCGATACCCTGGCCTTGTGGATTGTAGGGAATTCTGGTAGTATGCTGTATTTGGAATTGTTTGAAAAAGTTCTGAAATTTTTTTTCCAGTATAGCCTGGGCCATTGTCCGTTTTAATGCACTGAGGCTTCCCCGGGATAGATAGGCAGTAAAGAATATGAGCGATAACATTCTTAGAGGCCTCGCCTGTCTGAGCAGATGCACAGATATACCCGCTGAAGGTATCTATTACCACATGGACATATCTGAGCCATCCAAAAGAGGAGACGTGGGTGACATCCATTTGCCAGAGTGCGTTAGGAACCAAGCCTCTGGGATTGACTCCCAGGTGGGGTGCAGGCAGAAAGGTGACACAAGACTGGCACTGCTTAATGATTTGTCAGGCCTGCTCTTGAGGGATTTTAAACATCATTCTTAAAGTATTAGCGTTAAGATGATGAAGTGCATGAGCCTTAGTGGCCTCGGATATGGGGTCTGGACTGGAAACAGAGGCTGCAATCAGCCGAGTAGCCAGATCAGCCCTGTCATTGCCTTTGGATAGTGGGCCAGGGAGCCCAGAGTGGGCTCTCAGATGGCCTATGAAAAAGGGGAGACGGCAGGAGCGGATGCACTGTTGAATCTGTAAGAACAAACTGGTCGCCTGAGAGGATTCCTTAATATAGCTGACAGTTTCAAGGAGCGGAATGGAAAAGGCTACATAGGCACTATCTGTGTATAGATTAAAAGCTGTCTGAGGGAAGTCCTGAAAAACTTTACAGACGGCCGACAGCTACACCAACTGGGCGGACGTATAGTCTGTGCGAGAGAAGACAACCTTCTCTTGGTGCACGTATGCTGCCATCCCACTAGAAGATCCATCAGTGAAGATAGTGGGAGCCCCGGGGATGGGGTTATTTCTAGTGACAGTGGGGAAGATCCATCTGTGTATCTTGCAAAATTGAACCAGTCTGTCTGGAGGGTAATGATTATCTATGAGTCCCTCAAAAGAGACATAGGCTATGGGCCAGTCATCGGAATTCTGGAGTAGCCAGTTTACCTGGTCTCGGTCGTAGGGCTGAATGATGGTGGTTGGCTCTAAGCCGAAGTATTTTCTGCAATATTCCCTCCCTAGGCTGATTAATGAGGAAACAAGGAGGTAATAGGGAGTGAGGACACGTCTGGGGGTCGAGGATAGAGACAACCAGGAAACGGGATGGGTCTGCCAAACAAGACCTGTAGGGGAGTGTGGGGTCTCAAAAATTATCAGAGAAAACGGGAGCTCATAGTTCAGGGCAACGATAAACTGTTCATCAATGGCACGCTCTACAAGGGCAAGGGCGCGTCGGGCGTCATCTGTAAGTGTACGGGGGGAACTAGAATCGGGATTGCCCCGAAGGGTGTCAAATAGAGGCTTAAGGTCATCTTGTGTCAGCTTAAGGCAGGGTTGGAGCCAGTTAATATTGCCTATTAGCTGCTGAAAGTCATTTAAAGTCCTCAATGTGGAAGTCATGAGCTGAGCCTTCTGGACTCTGATTCTAGATCGGTCGATCTGAAAGCCTAAGAAGGAGTAGGGGTCACTCATCTGAATTTTGTCTTGGGCTATGGAAAACCCTGCGTGAGTTAGGGTGTCAATCATATGATTGCAGCAACGCATAACTTCATCTGGGTGCGGGCCAACAAGCAGGATATCATCCATATAATGGACGATGTAAAGATCCGGCCATTGTTCCCTGACGGGGGCCAGAACACTCGCAACAAACTTCTGACACAAAGTGGGGCTGTTGGCCATTCCCTGAGGTAGCACCTTCCACTGAAACCGCTTCATCGGGCCTCTGAAATTTGTGACCGGAACACTGAAGGCAAATCGGGGGTGATCAGCAGGGTGGAGGGGGATGGAGAAAAAACAGTCCTTTAGGTCAATAACAATCTTGTGCCATAGGGCGGGGATGACTACGGGCAATGGTAAGCCAGGTTGTAATGCTCCAAAGACCACCATGGTCTTGTTTATTGCCCTCAGATCCTGGAGCAGATGCCACTTCCCCGATTTCTTCTTGATCACAAAAATGGGCGTATTCCAGGGGGAATTGGTCAGTTCTATGTGTCCAGCAGCGAGCTGCTCCTGCACTAGCGCCTCCGCTGCGGCCAGTTTTTCAGAGGACAGGGTCCATTGATCTACCCACATAGCGTCATCTGATTGCCAGATAATCTTATCAGTGTGGGGTACAGGCAAGTCAACGGCCATTATGGTAAATTTCCCAGTACTTGTCGTCCTACAGAGAAGGAAGGCATCACGGGTTCAGTGAGGCCCTGGGAGTGCCTTCCCAGACCTTGACTAGGAAGATAGCCCTGCTGAAGTAAAAGATCTAGGCCTTTGGTATCTACTAGGATCGGGTCCATTTGGGACAAGATATCCCTCCCCCACAGATTAACAGGCAGGTCGGGGAGGACATAGGGGCGGACGTGGCCTTCCTCTCCTTCGGGGGTCCGCCACTTGAGTTCAGCTGAACTTAATATTGGGTTTTTTGAATGGCCAATCCCCTGCAGGTGTGTTAAAGAGGGGGAGAGTGGCCATTCGGGCAGCCAGTCCCTAGTAGTAATGATGGTAGTATCAGCTCCAGTATCTATAAGGCCGGTAAAGGGCCTGCCTAAGATGGTGAGGGTCAGGAGTGGCTTACACTCCTTTATAGCCTGAGCCAAATGCACCCCCAGTGGCACAGGGCCGGTGGCAGCAGGAGCAAGGCCAGGCGGGATGAGGAGCAATTCATCAATTCATCAATGCACCCAGATCTATACTTAGGAAGGAAGATGTAGTCATGGCCATAATGCTAAGCTGGCCAGTGAGAGTATTATCTATAGTGCCGGGAAGGACCTGGAATTCTTCCAGTATAAGATTCCCCCTCCCGATAATGAGGCCAACCTTTCCAGCAGACAGAGGCCCCTGGAAATTAACTGGGATGGGCTGAGGTCCCTGTGCCTGGGTTAAGATTGTGGGGGAGGTGGTACGGAGGTCCAATTTGGAGCTTCCTGGGATGGCACGCAGGAGGGAATCGAAGCCGGAGGGGGAACAAGGGCCAGAGGTGGAAGAGTTTGGGGAGGAAGAAAGGGGGTGCCCCAGCTGCCTGCTGCATTACGGGGCCCTGGGGCCGGCCCCGCGACAAGTTTCCCGGGCGAGAGGTAACTCCAACCTGGCAGTCTGATGCCCAATGGTACCCGTCCTTACACTTGGGGCATAATGTATGGGGCACGCATGCCCACTCCCGCTCTGGGCAGTGGTGCCGGAAATGACCAGGCTTGTTGCAGCCAAAGCACAATCTAGGGTCAATTGGAGCGGTCATGGGAGTATGGGTTAAACCTATAAAGGACGCCCCAATGGCCAGTCCAATTTTGTGAGAGGCGGGGTCTACATCGGCGCACAGGCGGAGGTAGTCAGAGAGGGTCTTGCCTCCTTTATGAGGACGAAGGACGTCCTGGCAGACAGAATTAGCATTTTCATAGGCTAGGTGGCAAATAAAGTCATTATCAGTGTCGCCTCCCCCCAGGAGGCTCTCAGAAGCCTCCACCAGGCGGCCAACAAAGTCATTGTAGGGCTCGTTAGGGCCCTGGTGGACTTTGGAAAGAGAGGTGACAACGGAACTCTTGGTTGGGAGACCCTTCCAAGCCTTCAAGGCTGCCGCCTGAATCTGTGTGAGAAGGCCAGGAGGGAACGGAGCCTGAACCTCGTTAGAGGAGAAGGAATCATTACCCAGGAATTTGCTCAGTACCCAGGGGGAGGAGGACCCTCCCGCAGCGAGATTCCGCCGGGCCATATCCTGACAGCGATCATGATGATCCACCTTCCAGAGCAGATAGTCTCCGCGGCTTGAAACGACACGGGTCAGGGAAAACCAATCATTAGGGGTGAGCCAGCTCTCGCTAAGGGATTCTAAAAGGCTCAGGGTAAAGGGGGCAGTTGGACCTCCTTTGGACCAAAGGAGGCAACAGCATCCTTAATGTCTTTAATATCACTAAACTTCAGTCTTTCATAGTGCTGTCGTCCATGGGCTCCCACGTGGGTCTCACCTGGCTCTGAGTCCCTTGCATCCCTGCCCGGATTAGGAGCCTCCTTGATGCCCTCACGGTCATCTGGGAAGTCTGCCTCTTGGGCTGCTCCCTATCTCTCCTCCCCTGAAGGGGCCTGAGGTGAGAGGCATCTACCAGACCGGAGAGCAGGAAAGATCTGAGGGGCTTGCAGCCGAGCTTTAAGTGGCGGGCTTAGTGAGTCAGGCGGGGTATTTGGAGATAGATCAAGCTGCCTGATCTGCCCCAGGAGGTCCAGGAATTCCTGCTTTTGTTGTATGAAGGAGCGGAGCATTTGAATATTCTGCGCCAAGCGGTGGGGAACAAGGCGAAGGTCAGGACCCACAAGGGGTGGAGAAAGACAATCGCTCACCCCGAAAGAGACCTCGGGATTGTATGGAGGGGGGCAGCGAGGGTGGGCGAGGGGGCCATTGGGGACCTCTCAGGTGCACGAAAGCATGTGGCTGCATCCCCGAGGTCAGCAACGTTCTCAGGGGGATGGGCATCAGAGTCCACAGAATGCGGAGGGGAGTGCTTGGGGAGGGGATCCCTGATGACTGGATATAAGCGTGGCATCGAACATTCAGGGGGATCGTACTGAGAGCCTGCAGGAGGTTTCTCAGGTGGCTCCTCAGTGGGCATAGGATTGACACAGAGGGACACGGGGACTGACAAGGTTCCTCTGTCTCTGCGGTGGGGGTGGGGAGAACAGAAGGCGGACTGGAAGGCGTGCGGGACTGAGGGTTAAAAGGGCCATAATCTTTAAGGTCTCAGAGTCTTGAATTATCTGGTGGGCATCTGACTGAACATGTCGGACTCGAAGGACCTCATTAATGAGATTCCAAAAAGAGAAAGTCGGAACGGGGATTCTCTTGGGGCCAAACGTCCTGTAATAGTCTTTAAGACAGTCTCCTACACGGCCCCAACATTTCTCATTGATGGTCCCTCCTTGAGGGAACCAGGGACAGATCTTCTCAATAAGAAGAAAGAAATCTACGAGATCCTTTTTCTTGACCTGGATACCCCGGTGATTAAGGGATGTCTTTAAACCATGAATAAACAATTCCTTCTTGCTTAAACTCTGACCCATTGTCAGAGGTCAGGAGAAACAGCGTTCAAAGATACAGATACACACGAATATACAGATTACGAAACAGAAAATGAGAAATATAGGAAGAAGAGAGGGAGTAAGACAGATGAAAGGAATAGAAGGCAGACAAGATATAAAGATTGACGAGACAGGAGATGGGTCACTGGAAGGCTGTACCCCGTGTGAATACCTGGGAAAAACAGACGCGAGACACGGGGGAGTCCCAACAAAGGGGCCCACTCAGGTGCTTGTCTGGCCGGTGGGAAACTTAGCCGTAGTGGATCAGCCAAAGGTGACTTGCGGCCGACGTCTAAGTCAGCACCACCATAGACCATATGTTTCCCGTGGAACCACAGGCAGCCCAACCGGATTCCGTAGCCTTTTCGGGGATCTTAGGGGTGCCCAGCCGTGGAACAACAGACTCGAATCAGAGGCGAGGACGCCCCTGACCGCTCATTCACTCACACACACATTCCACAAAGGACACGACAAAGGGGCATGGGGGGGGGGCTTATCCAACCCAGTGACCGTCTCATATACCTCATATGAGACTGAACACTTAATTCTCCCCTGATGCCGCCCCGTCGACCTCTATAATGAGGCAGGAGCTAGTACCCACTCAGCCTCGAACGAGATGGGGATCTGCCCACTCGGCCTCAAACGAGACAGGGATTTTTGATTAGGCGTGCACTTACCTTTCCGTGCGTCCCGGTGGCCACCGCTTCCTGAAGGGGAGTTTGGCAGTCGTCTCCCAGACACCACCCCGTGTGGGCGCCAGTTGCGGGGGGCCCCGCCAGACCACGCTCCGGCCCACAGAGGTGGCCCTAGGATCCGTAGGTGCAGGGAAAGACTGACCAAATGAACACAAGACACGAGAGAAAAAATGGAGCTTAGAAACAAAGAGAAAAAGGGACAGGCTTTATTGAGGGTGATGGGGGTATATATTAGTGAGGCAGCTACACAAAGGGTCGTGCTCAAAATGTGATTAGGAAAGTTACAGAGTCTATAAGTTTAACCTAACATGCATTACAAAGCTTATACTAAGTTAATCATTGTCAGTTACAGCCATGACAATTGTTTTCTTGGGATAATCATACATAGGACAGCCTTTACCTGCCAAAGGTCACGTAGGTGAGGATTACCAAACCACAGGCTTCACCTGCCGAGGGTCACGTAGGTCAGGATTACCATACCACAGGCTTTACCTGCTGAGGGTACTGTAGGTCAGGATAGCCGTACCTAGCACAGGCACGTAGGCTCTTGGTCAGTTAAAGGGCCAGCTTCCCACAACATAGCTGTGTAAACATTTTCCAACTCAAAAGAACAGACACAGTAAGTGGAAATAACACCCTCTGCAGAAAAGTGAAGCCTCAGTTTAAAGTGAAAATTAAAAGGGGCCTGAGACTGGGTTTGGGTCTAGCTGAGTTTGGAGCCCGGGCTGAGCATGTGAAGGCAATGATGTATCCCTACACAGCCGAGATGGACCTTTGCAAACATCTCACCTGAAGCAGATTCCTCTGCAGGATCATTGAGTTTTTTGTTATCTTGTTATATTTACTTAGGTGGGGAGAGAGTCACACCAAGCATTGCTCAAGGATTCCTGCTGCTGGGGCACTGGGGGCCATGTGGTGTGCTGGAATGGAACCATAGTTTTCTTCCTGATGCCAAGCAAGTGTCCTTCCTAATGCAAAACCACTAGTGCTGAGCCATTGAGTTCTTTTCAACACACTTGTCCTTGCTGTCTATCAAATGTAAAGTCACAGTATTTCTCCTGTAATAAAAATAATTTTGGGGGAGTCGGTGCCATAGTACATGGGTAGGCATTTGCCTTGCACACAGCCAGCCCAGCTACAATCCCAGGCATCCCATATGCTCCCCCAAGTACCCCTAGGAATAATTCCTGAGCGGAAATCTAGGAGTAACCCCTGAGCATCAATGGATGTAACTCAAAAAGCAAAAATTTAATAATTTTTTAGGTTTTATAATTTTAGTATATGTGCTGCCAAACGGTTGGAAGATACCATGTTGAGTGAAGTTAGTCATAAAAAGAAACAAAAACAGGATGATGTCACTCATCTGTGGAATACAGAACACTGGATGTAGAAATGTACTCTAAAGGGGCTACTTAAATCATCCCTGACTCCAGTGTTTAGAGAGAAGTCGGTCAAAGAAAGAAAGAAATCTGGGGGCAGAAGAGAACCAGAAGTTTACAGGGATCAGGGCTTCATTTATGCCAGTGACATGAGTAAGGGGTGTAGCCATTTACCCAAAAATACAGATGCAACAGAACTGAAAACAAGAGATCTAAGCCGCAATCACTGAAACTTAGTCATGTGGTTGTCCAGAACAGGCGGGAGTGGAGTTGGGACTGGGGTGGGTATGGAATATGGGAACACGGGTGGAGGGAAGCTGACGTGGGTGCAGGGATTGGTGTTGAATTATTGTATGCCTAAGTACAACTACGAATAACTTTGAAAATCCTGGCACTTAAAAAAAAAGCAATACAATAAAATAAATTTCCAGATTTCAGCACCCGCTGAAGTTAAAGACCCTCTAGTCCCAGCATTAGGCTCTGAATTTTTTTTTCTTTTTGGGTCACACCCGGCAATACACAGGGATTACTCCTGGCTCATGCAATCAGGAATTATCCCGGAGGTGCCCGGGGGTCCATATGTGATTCTGGGAATCGAACCCAAGTCGGCCGCATGCAAGGAAAATGCCCTACCTGCTGTGCTATCACTCCAGCCCCAGGTTCTGATATTTTTCCTGTGGTGCTGAGACCATAGATGTGGTTGGGGGATATAGCTGGACCACCTGTCAAGTCACATGCTTGGTTCACAAAGTACCCCCAATGGCATAATATTTAGTTTCAACAAGAGAATCTTACCAGCACACGTGTATGCAATATCCATGTTCCCAAATCAAATTGCTGCAATGCCACATCCAGAACCTGTGATTTGAATTCTCAAATCAAAAACAATACACAAGAATTAGTCCCATGTTGAATGCAACACCCCTGAATGGCTGAGCAGGTGAAAGACATCTCCATGATTCTCACAGTTCAAACAAGCGTATAGAAAGGAAAACTCTGCTGGAAGTGTCTGTGGGAGGAGCACGGCAATCCCCGAAAAAACGTTTTGGGTTTTGTTTTTGATCAGACCCAGTGATCCTCAGGATACCATCGGGGATGCCAAACATCGAAGGGAGGCGGTGTCTGTAAGGCAAACACCCTCTCTGATGCACTGCCATTCTGGTTCCAATTAGCTTCACTATAGGCTCACACTCACAGTTTCACATGCACGCAATAAAACATTTTTGGTTGGTCAAGAGTACAGCAGGTAGCCTTGCATGAGGCTGACAGGGATTGATCCCTGAACACCGCTGAAAGCAACTTCTGAGAACTACCAGGAATAACTGCTGGGAATCCCCAGGCCATGAAACCAAAGAAAACTACATTTCTTTCTATACTCAAAGCACCATGGCATGATCCAAAGGCAAAGATAAGCATGGTGTCTGATTAAAAGAGCGGGGTCCAGTGCTCCAGAAAGGGCACCCGACCCTGTATGTGTACAGTCAGGCTGGTTATACAGCCAGGGGAACAAGGACCTTGAAACTGATAAACTATTCCACATACCTGACAGGTAAAGGTAAAGGCTCTCCCGTTGATCGTCGATTTGCTCGAGCGGGCCCAGTAACGTCTCCATTGGAGACTTTGTTGTTACTGTGTCTGGCATATCGAATACTCTCGGTAGCTTGCCAGGCTCTCCAAGAGGGGCGGAGGAATCGAACTCGGGTCGGCCATGTTGGCCGCTTGTAAGGCGAACGCCCTACCCACTGTGCTATCGCTCCAGCCCGTACCTGACAGATGAGGAAGAATAACAACAAAGTCAAGAAATCAAAGTGTAGGATTGCTCGGTAACAGACAGCTCAGGGGAGTGAAGGGCAGCATGAGCACAGCACAGACACCTGATCCTGGAGCCCAAGGATCTCGGGGTCAGCACCATGTTTCACATGCTCTCAAGGCACCCACACAGTGCCCAGGGCCTCAGCCAGTGTCCTCAGACACTCAGTGGGACACACACCTCTCCTCCCTGGCTTTAGGGCTCCTCTTCCAACCAGGAGACTAACACTGGCTTCAGCCCAAAAAGCCCTGTCCCCACAGAGATGGAAGCATGGATTAGTCACAAGGAAAAGACGACAAGTAATCCTCATGTGCCCCTGGTCTAACCGGCCATATCACTGAAAAGGCATGATCATAATATCCACTTTCAATATGCCAGAGATTGTTGGGGAGTGAGATATAAGATAAGGTTTCAATTTAAGAGTTAAATAATGGGGCCCCAGATAATACCACTAACAGTCTAGGCTTGGCCAGGCATATGGCTGACTTAAGTTTCATCGCAGCACTGTATGTAGTTTTGTTTTGGGGTCACACCTGGCGATGCTCAAGGGTTAATCCTGTATCCGCACTCAGGAATCACTTCTGATAGTATTGGCTCCATGGAAGGTCAGTGATTGAACCCGGTTTTCTTCGAGTAAGGAAGCACCCTCCACACTTACGCTCTCTCACCCCGGAACCAAATGGAGTTTCTGAGCCCCTCCCAGAGTGATCACTGAGTGCACGGTCAGGAGGAAATCCAAGCACCCAAGTGAGGACAAGGATGGCAAGACCTTATTTTAAGCTAAAAACAAAGGGAAATAGAAGGCAGTGTAGGCAGATAGTACAGTAGGTGGGGCAAAGTACTTGCCCATATTCAAACCAAGTTTGTGCCCTACCAGCCAGCCATGATCCCTGAGTGCAGAGGCCAGGAGCAAACCCTGAGTCCAACTGATTTGGTCCCGAACAAATTTTAAAATCCGTAGAAGAGTCCAATGGAGGCAGGGTGACAATGCACAGGATTGGGGAATATGCTTTGCATGTGGGACCCTCTGACTTGATTCCAGGCACCATCTGGTCTCCTGGGAACACTGGAAGTGACCCCAATCACTGAACAGAACATAAGCTGAGGGGGTTAGGCGCTAAGATATAAATGATCTTAGCGGACAGAGGGATGGCACAGCAGGGAGGGCGTGTGCCTTGCACACAGTCCAACCGGGTTTGATCCCATGTATCCCTTTAGGTCCCTGAGCACTGCCAAAAGTAATTCCTGAAGGCAGAGCCAGAGTAGCCCCTAAACACCACTGACTGTGGCCCAAAAGCCAAAAAGTAAATGAATGAAAATTTTAAAATTACAAGTAAAAGAACTAAACAAACTTGAGTCACAATTTTACAAATTATTACTCAAGTTAGAATCTTTGGGATTAGTGAGAAGATATTGAGCAGAGGGTGCTAACCTTGCCCTGAGCCGACACAGGAGGGATCCCTGAGCAGAGATGGGTGTGGCCCACACTTCCCCTCTCAAATACATAAAATGACATTTCAGATAATAAAATAGGGGCTGGAGAGATAGTACAATGGGGACAGTGCTGCCTTGCTGTGACTGATCTAGATTCGAGTCCCCACGTCCTGTACAGTTTCCAGAGCTCTTCTAGAAGTGATCTCTGAGTGAAGAAGCAGGAGTCACCCATGTGCATCACCAGGTGGGTCCCCAAACAAAATAAACAAAGCAAAATTTAAGTTGTACTCAGAGAAAATAAAGCAAGTGCTGAGGAGATACTCCAGAAGGTCGGGGCTTGCCTGTGTCCTACACAAACTTAATGCTCTGAACCTGCATCCCATATGATT